GGTCGCCGGTGTCGCCGGTGTTTACCCCGACGAGGAGGTTTCCGCCTACGGTTAATGATGGGGTTGTGGCTAGGAGGGTTGCGGAGACGTTTGCGGGCCATTTTAAGGATTTTGATCCTGATGTGGCGAGGACTAATATCGCTGAGGACTTTAGTACCCTTGCTACTTGTCGCGGTATTCCGAGCTGTTTTTGGTTGCTTGGGGGTGTGGATCAGGAGGTTTGGGATAGGGCTGAGAAGGAGGGCAAGGTTGAGGAAATTCCGGGGAATCATTCGGCCCTGTTTGCGCCGGTGGTGCAGCCGACGTTGAGGACGGGCGTGGATGCGTTGTGTTTGGCTGCGTTGACTTTTTTGAGGAAGTAGTGTAGATGGGGTAGTTACCATGGTTATAGAGAATGGCTAAACATATCCTCGATTTAGTAGGTGGATAGACTCTATTTGCTCTGTCGAAAGGGGAGGTGGGGACTCTTCCTGCAGAGGATAGACAAAATGAGTCATAAAAGGAGAAGCCAGTGTTCGAATACTCAAAGGGGGCATGCTGGCGTGTATGTATATTATGGGTACCTTAATAGTAGATATTACTAGTATATGTAAGTCCATCATTATCCCGTTCCTAAACCCGATCACCATGGCAGCTTCACAAATCTTCAAAAAACCTATTAACCGTCTCCCCTAACTGTTTCGACCTCTCCCGAATGCGACTCTCATCCATAACGCCCTCTTCGCTAACAAACGCATCGACCATATACAGCGGCACCCATTCAAAGTAGGTATTCTTCACCTCGACCGTCGACGACCCCTCTGCATCAGCCTCCTTCATGCCATCTTCGAGCACCCGTACTGCTTTGACGCCGTCGTTGCGCCAGGCACTGATGACCTCCATCGGATCGTTGTCTTCATGATGATCATCATCAATCATACTCCCGACACAGTTGATCTTCTCGAGGTCGCTGAGAACAGCAATTTGGGCACTAGGACTGACGTGTTTTGTGCAAAGCACGGCTGGTAAAGAGCCAGTCTTGTTACTCACTCCTTTTGTGCTGGATATTCGGTCGGCACCGAGAAGTAACAAATCCACGTCGGCGGCGGCCAAAGCGGCAGATGCGTCGGTGTATATTTTCACTTTCAACTCTTTACCGGGGGTGTCGAGGAATCGTGACTTGAAGTTGCTGACGATAGATGAGCCTATACTAGTGCCTTCGAATAGTGGCCGCGACTCGAGAATGCGAAGTTCCAGCTTTCGGATGTCCAGCGATGCATACGCTTCCAAAATGCTGTCCCGGATAGTCGAGCTAGCAGAGACAGTCAAAATGGTAAGTTTATCCAGCGCTTCCCCGTGATGCAGGAACTTGAATCGAATGTAATTTGCAAAGGCATCCTTCACTTGCGTTTGACGACTCTTCCGACACTTGAGATGATGATCGAGCACATTCAGGACCCGCTCCAACTTATGCTGCGAGTTTGTCTGCTCGTCCACAAGTATGTCCTTTAACTCATCTAGAACGGCAATCAGAGCATTCATCGTCGAGGCGCCCATACTTTCTCGACCATTTTTGATAATATGCCACGCTGCCATGCGAACAGTCTTCCACCACTCATCACTATTGATCTCATCTTGCGTCTGGACAATGAAATCCCGGAAGGCCACTAACGCGATAGCTGTCAATTCCTGCGCCCCGCTCTCGTGGTCGCTTCGTAAACGCTCTAGACCCAGTGAAAGCGCCTTGGCGGCGCGCTCGCTCAATTCTCCTTCGAACCAGACTCGTCGCAGGGAGTCTTTTAGACGCGGCACAATCTCCGAGTCTTCCCTGTCTAGCACCGCCTGTGGATCGTACCATTCCCATCCCTCGTGCTCCCAGTCTATCTTGATAGCGCTTTCACCTTTCCCTCCTTCGGATGAGTCTTTCAGCTTGAAAGCAAAAGGATGAACCGTCCATTCGCGATTGACAGATCGATCTTCAAAGGTAAATGGCTTCCCTGTGCGCCAGTGTGTGAGTGAAGATTGGTCGAGGGAGGTTTCTTCGGCCAATTCGCGCCACGCTGCTTCGATGGGAAAATTGTCGCTGCGACTTATGCTGCCAGAAATCGGAGCAAGATGATGGCTACGTCACATATATTAGCGAAAACTGCAGCAATAAATTAAAGTATGGGGCAAACGAACCTGTACGTCCGCACCTTATCACTCCGCTTGAAGAGCGCAACAACCGGTTTCTCAGATGGACCCTTGGGGAAATGGAAAATAAATGAAGAAACAACCGCTCGTTTCTCAAGTTGCGACTCGTGAGGCTGTTCCTTGTGCGACATTGTGAATGTGGCGGATAAACTACGCCCGGTGAAGCTACTATGTACTATGCGGCATGTAAAAAGAGAGCAGGAATGAGCCTTTCGGCTGATCAGCATACGCGCGGAGCGATCGCCGTTTCTTGTCAGGTATGAAAGAGATGAAAGAGGCGACAGTCGGGGAATATAAAAGATGGGACATCAGCTGATCGGGTAGCTGCCGAAAGAAATGAGGGGATTCATTCGGTCATGATCACATCACGCTATCGCTGCAGACAACCATCAAATTAATCTTACGACGGATATCGAGGGCTGATATAGCTTTTGTGCCATGGTCAGTAACCTGCGCTTATATTTTGTTCATTATTATTTCGTACCTTTGATAAAGAATAAATAAATTCACCCGATTGCTGAAGATAACATGTCCGCGCCGATCATGAGTATCTTTTTTCGCCGGGGTTGTAGTACAGCAATGACGTCAACATTCGTCAGGCGTTTCGCTCTATACAACAAGTCCAGAATTCTCAGTTATAATATCCTCAACAATAACATTTACTCAATTACTGCGCTTAAACCACCAAAACGTGTTTCTTTCTACCATCAATCCCATCACCACCTAACCAAAATGCAATCCTACCCCGGCTCCTGCTTCTGTCACAAAATCACTTATAACCTTAACCTCTCGTCTCCGGACGACGCCCGCACGTCCCTTTGCCATTGTCGCAGCTGCAAGGTAAGCCTAGCCAGATAGATACAGGGTTATGATCTGCGATCTATAAATAAATGCCATCCACAAGGTGCTCAATTGACTAATAATTACCCCGGAATATAGAAAGCTTTCGGAACAAACTACGGTCTAACCGCCAAGGTCCCCAAGGATGCTCTTCAGATTACATCTGGTACGCTTAAGGAGTATGTAGGCGATAATGGGTCTGGGAGTATGATCCATCGGGAGTTTTGTGGTGATTGTGGGAGTTATATTTGCGAGTATGGGGTATGTTCTGTCTCTTTGAGGGGGCTTTTAGTGGGGAATGCAATTGAGTGTGATGCTAATAGGTGTTGTACAGGATGCGGTCAAGAATGATTTCCGGTATATTTGTGTAGGGACATTGGATGATCCGGAGGTGTTGCCGCCCAAGGGAGAGTTCTTCTGTCAGAGTAGGGTTCGTTGGATGCCTGAGATTCCGGGTGAGTAACTAACTACTAGTCTGTCTAGGCTTGGTAGGTGATAACTAATTTGGCGCATAGATGTTTTCCACAAAAGCAAGATCAAGGAGTGATCGGTTTGCTCCGGCATTTCCCCGAATCTAGCTTCCTTTGTATGAAGCTGTCTTATTATGAGCAACTTGTACCCTAGATATGTACACTAGATGATATCTTATGCGATTTCCGTCACACTCTTAACCACCATATCAGGCCGTATCAGTTTCCCCTGGATATGCAGCGCATTCAAGTAGTCATTACTGTCCACACGACGGAAGCCATCTTCCAAAGTCCTTTCAATCCCCGCACTGACATGTCGTCGAGCAACTCTTCCCCTGGCTTCTTGCAGGTCTGCGTCGACAAATATGCGATAATCGACCAATTGCGACACATCACGCCAGTGTTCTTCGTTCAACAGGAGATAATTGCCTTCGATGATAATAATCGAGGCATCCCTTGTGATAGCCATGCCGTTCTCAACGGGGTCTTTCGCCTCGTGATCAAATGACGGTGCATATATCACAGCAGCGTCAGATGGTGAGTCTCCGTCTGAGGGAAACGGAGTAGAGTCTGCCCATTGTCGCAGTTGTTGAACAAACGTAACGAAACGCACTGCGTCAAAGGTCCACGGGGCACCACGCCGGATGTATGCCTCTTCACGGTTAGGAAGAACGTCCAATGCCGCCCGCGACAAGTGGAAGCCGTCCATGGAAATGAGTGCTATTTTGTTCGGTTGTGACTCGGCTCGGAGTTGTTGAGCGACAGCTGAAGCTGTGGTTGTCTTGCCAGAGCCTGGTATTCCAGCTATAGCAACAAGAAGTCGCTTCTTGTCATTCTTGCGAGCTTCTTGTTGGATTGCATCTGCAATCCGAATATATTCTGCTTCCATCTGTTTATGTGTCAGTCAGCTCGATGGTGAAGCGAACGGTAACGGTAACTAACCTTGAATCACCCTCGTGCACCCAGTTGTAAATAGAAGTCAAACAAAAGTTCAGACTGCTCTTGTAGAGACTACATCTCTAAATATGTACTACGGTACCTTGTGGCGGGGGAATCGGCTCACAGTGCTCCGATGACTGCTAGCAACGGCGCATGTTGAAATCAAGTATCCGAGGTAAGTCAAATCAGCGATTGCGGGGAGTGACTAGTTTATATTCGATAAATACGATCATAAACTTGCGCATCCTTTTGTTTGATTGTGAAACAGCTGTTCTGGTCTGCGTTGGATATCCGCCATGAAGGAACGGTGGCAAATCGTGCATGTCCTGAATATGCTACTCTCCGTCCGAATCCCGCATACGGAATGTACGGTTTGTGATCAGTCACCTGGAGTCCAAGTGTCACTCCCTTGAGCAACCTTCTGCTAGTCTTCCCCCGCATGTGGGGTGACTGGACGATAGAGCTATCTAAGGCACGTGCCTATCTTATCGGCCGGGAATAAACTATCGTGACGATAAGAGAAGAGCTGTGTAGAAAGACCAAAGTATCTTCATTCATTCAATCGTGATTCATTTAAAGTCAACTCGCCAACAGCCGGGGCGAGGAATTTACGATCTCAACGTGGCGGGAACGCGACTTGGTTGACCGCTTCGGTGGTTTTGGCAGAGGTGCCACATAGAAGCACAGTATCTGCTGATCCAAGCAATGCGAGCAGCGCGGTCTCTGCTGATCGCAAACAACACCCCATGTCTGGCATGCCTTGCAAGGATAACTCTGCTCGTTTCCAGAGGACTGTTCCCGCAGTCCTGTGTCGCATTCTCCAGTGGTAGACAAACCACCTCTCGCTGTGCCAGCACATCCGTTCGTCTTTGTGGAGGCACCGTTTGTCGCTTTGGGGTGATTCGCGGGATCCGCAAGGGCATCGTGGGTCCCAGACCCGGCGATCATCCACACCGACCAGAACCATTGCGCAAAGCGCTTCAGAATGCAGTCTCCCCCCATGTGGGTTTTCCTGGTGAGATCGTAGCTCACCGAACTTTCAGCCGGCTGTGCCATTGTGTTCGACATCGTGTCTAGTTGTGTCGTATCTTCGTACCGCTAATCGACTGGCGAGTGGTCGGGCGGGATGCTGGTCAGATCTTAGAACATTAGCGTCCGTAACTTCATGACGATGCCAGTTGAAAGCGCATACCTGAGACTGTCCTTTCTGGCGCAGAGAAAGTAGACGTTATAGTCACTGTCACTGTGCTTGAACCATTCCTGCCGACCAACAGAGTTCTCTGCAAGCGGAGGGAGATCGCTCTGGTACTGCAAGAGAAGCGTACCCGCGCGACCTGCTAACGACGAAATCTTTCCATAGGTTGAAATGGTAGGGCAAGAAGAACGCGGAAGCGGGTTTCTAACTTCTGAAGAAGAATCCGCGTTTAACAAAAAAAGAAAGACAATAACACGAAGGGAGAAAGGATCCGAGCACCGTTATAAGAAAAACCCCGCGCCATCGGAATGCCAACACACGGTCCTCCAGGACACGGAGGCCCAGACTTGGAGTGACCCCTGTCACCGGGTCTCCATCACCCAAATTGTATGGATCGACATTACGTCACCTGAGTGGTGCCACGGTTCGTCGCTCTGATATGTGCAGTTCCCACTCTGCCGTGAAGACATCCTGGTCGTGGCGCCATAATAAGTCTCGGCTATAGGGGAAGAATCCTGGCATAGTGCTTGCTTGATAGATTAGTCTGCGCTCTATGGAAACACGATCGGAGTCCGAGCCAAGTTGATATTCAATGTCCACGTAAGTGTCGGAAGATAAGCAGAGAAAACCCTCGCGATTCGTCGCCTGACATGGTCGGTGATTAATTGAATTTTGTGTCATCCAGGTACCTCCTCTGAGTCAAGCGACTGACCGTCCGACATCCGCAGGGACAGCTGGGCTGATCTACTTCCCTTGCAGCCGGCTAGTCTGGTTTTATCCTAGTCCTCCAGCTCAAGCATAGCCATATGTCTAGGAGCAAAGCCTTGTTGGAGCGGTTTTCTGCAGCCTTATTATTTTCGCATATATTTGTATGGCATGCAGGGATGTAGAAGAGCTAGATACTGATCCGTACCTGCTTCGCGTCGGTACCTGTTCTAGGCCTCAGACCGCCCAGTAATTGGTAGTGATCTGGACCGATGCCCAATGCAGCCTGCTCCAACGCATCACGGCCACACGTGTCACCGCATACTCATAAAGACCCTTTCCCTCGATGAAATGCGTGTCTTGAGCTGAGAGCACTTTGTTGTAATCCTATTTCGTCTCGATCAATTCAATGAAATGTCGAGCGAAAGATAGTCGCTCATCGAAATCGATCTGACTATACTCAGCGATAATCATCTTGCTACTCATCAGATATTGCTCGCGAAGATCACCCCACAGCTTGCTCTGCGGTCGGGGGTAGAACGGATCATTGCGCCAAAAAGCAGTAACAGCCTGCTGAACCCCAGCGTCGCTCATGGGCATATATCGACATAGATCGAAGTCCAGCATCCACATAGTATGCCGACCAAGAACATTGGTGATTGTGTTGGTGCTGGGTCCTTCTTCGTGGAAAGGGGGAGGAGCCAGAACAAATTCAATATCATTTCCGTCCACCTCGCCGAGCCAGTGTAGAGTGGCTAATGCTTCACCCATCATACGCGCATAGCTCTGCATGTCTTCGGTCGGAATGCCGATGTCTTCCATCTGGTCTTCGTGTAATGGGTAGTTTCTCAGTGAGAATGCTGCAAACCTCGAGGGTCTGCTAATCTCGGTCCTCTGTGTTCGTCGCCTACCCAGGTATGGTCGTATCAGACAGTCTCTATTGGCGGCACTTGTCAGTATCTCCGTTTTTATTGTTGGGTCGCAGTATCTGTTAACGATGAGTTTTCTGATCTGCTCGGCGAATGGGGGAATGCGGTCTGAGACAATGGCATTGCAGGGTGAGTAGTGCGATGGGAAGAGGGGGAGATTCTCCGTCCACCACTGATCGTTTGAAGAAATGAAGTGATGACACTCCGAGACCCGGACTTGGGGGGATGTTTGGTGGATACCGGATCTTCGTTTGATGTCTGTCAGACGAGAAAAGCTCTGGAGGATCCTCCGGTGCATAGCATAATCGTTAGCGAGAGACCTGTCTGGACCGCCATCTTCTCGCTTGACAGCTCGACCATCTTCAGATAGGGCCCAGACTGTTCCACAGAATCCAGCACCGATACAGGAATATTTTGATGCCATGAATGCTGATGGTATTGCCTGAAGTGAGATGACACGGAGAGAGATGCAGTGAGGTGAGTGCTTCTCCTTGTGGACAAGTTTGACGTCACATTGACCGCTCGAGTTACCGTACTCTGCCAAGGCTTGAAGCTAAAGATGGCCCTGAGGGGGAGTAGGAACTATGCTGATTGATGTGTTCTAAGGTGAATGCGTCTATTATTTGGCACAAAGAAGGCATGTAAGCGGATCCTGGCTGAAATTATGCCTCTCCCCTTTCATATCAAAAAATACTGCAGCATAATATATCAAGCCCGGGTGGTCTAGTGGTATGATTCTCGCTTAGGGATACAAACCCAAGCATATCTGCGAGAGGTCCCGCGTTCGATCCGCGGCTCGGGCCTTGAAACATTTCTTTTTGTTTTATTCATTCTTGTTCTGCTTTCTCTTCACAATTATTTTTACACTGTGTGTGTTAGTCGCGCCTTCGCACGGTCGCTTGGTGTGGACTTTCATCAGTATACATGCTCTGGATCGCATGCTTGGCCAGGCTAGCCCATTAATCCATCCAGCTTGGGTCATGTGCTACTGAAAGAGTGGTAAAACACACGCAGCACTTCGGGCCCATCCCGAATACAGTAGCTATTTCTCCTTCAGCTATCGATCAATTTCAATGAATCACCGGCTCCTCCCAATCTCAGAAGAAGCCCATATTTCTCCCCTGACATCGCTACCAGGTCATTAGAACGCCCCCAGAATACATCTGCCATGGTCTAAAATTAGGTTTGGCCGTACCTTATCAGGCCATCCGCCCCATGAATCCCTGTACTATCAACCAAGGCCAGCCATGTCAAATCAACCAACAGACTTCAATCGAGGCCCGATGACAGACCCAAAATTGAGCACGATCCCCTGTAGCCACTTGAAGGTTCACTGGTGATCCCATGACTTCACCTCTTTTGTCGTAAATATCTAAAGCTACCAGCCTACCCCGCGAATTGAGCCTAGGTTATGGATTATCGCTTGATGTCAAGACTTGATGGTTTGGAGGTTGCTTGCACGCTATTTAAGTTGCTTGTGATGGCGAATTTTGTGGTGTTGTGGAGGGATGGAGATTGTAGCTACTTGGTACCTGCGCTACGAGGTATTCTGTCGAAACACTACACTACACTATTGAGGCTTTGCCTATTATCTGCCTATCTATCGATCGATCGATGGTCTTCATAAGGAGGCACATCCATCGCCATGTCCACCACTTCTGAGAAGGATAATATGGGCATCGCGGTTGGAGAAGTCAGAAAACCTGAAGCTGAGCTTGGGGGTCAAAATCACAGTTCCCCCAGTCTGGAAGATCTCATCGAGGAGGTCCCGCCTGTGGAGGACTCGCCGAGTCTGATTGAGACGATTGGGTATTTGCTTTCTATTCAAGATGGCTGTACGATATGATCTCTTGGTTGTAACGATGGGGGGAAACAAAAGATGGCTAATTGGTATCACAGACGGACCGCCGGATTCGACATGGGATGTGGAGGATTTTGATTAAGATGATGTTTGATGATTGATATTTGATGTTTTATGGGTTATGTTAAAAGCCCAGGATGATATTTTGGGTGGCTCCAGATTAGCTATTACCCCGGGATGGCGTTGGGTGCTGGATAATGTTTCTTTTTCTTCTTCTCCATATTTCCGACGAATAAAATGTACGCTACAGAAAGACCTACCCTCTTTCCGAATATGTCAGGAGAAAATTCATAAAGATCTTGATAGATAGTCTCTTTGGCTTTGTCTACTGTACAATGTCCAGTTCTATTGGGATAAACAGGCTTTAGCTTTCGCTGATGTCAGGTCCGACTGCCATAGTTGGTGGCAACCAGTCACAAATGTCACAGGTATAAATCTTGACGGTCTGCAGACTTGGTTGTAGTCAGCCACTGTTGTTGTTCTATCCTGTTCAAAGACTTCCTTACCTCGACATTAGACAGTATCATAATATTAAAACATATCGCACAATGTCCGAACACGAGACTCAGGTCCCTACACCGGCGTTCAGCCAGCCAACCCACGAGCACAGGGACTCCTTGATTGATATGCTACACCTCAATAATGTGACATCACATATTCTTAATGCGGTTGGGCATATGACTGAGGCGGAAAGTGATCCGGATACGATTGACCGTATGCTGTGCTCCCGCACATGTGGTGTCTCGTGGTTAGGCTAACCTACTTTGCAGGTGACGATCATGTATTAGTATTCGATAACCCCTTTAAGGGGGCTATGGACGGAGATGATGATGAAGACCCCTGACTAGGTTTCTGACTATTGATGCTATCGTATACGTTTGGAGTTAATTAAATTGGAGATGATATGGCTGGGTGCAATGCCTGGGCAGGTCATGTTTATATACCACATTTTGCTATTACGAAGTTTTAGTAGAGAAACAACAAGATATATTAGTCACTCATTATTATTCAACTTTATTCATGATTAAGCCTCATCTTTCCATGTGTTAATGAGGAACTCCCTCATCTTGATAGGCTTGATATCGGGAAATGATGCATTCATACGCTCCTGCGGTAGATCAAAAGCACCGGCGATAGTGAGTCGGCTCACCAGAACGGTCATTTCCCGGGCCTCCTCCTCAGAAAGCCCAGTAAGGAACGGTGGCACGGTGACCCGACCTGCCTTGACGTTCTCGGCACTGTCATAAACAACATCGAATTGTTTGCCTGGTCATTTTAGTTAAATGTCTTCGTGGGTGTTCGAATCACATACCTCGAGCCTCCTCAGCAAGCCTGAGGAGCTCATTGTAAGTAATGTCATCTCCCGCAAAAATGCTAAACTCAGGCCACTCCTCGAGATCTAGTAACTTCACGATATATGCTGCTAGGTCATATGAATATGTCACGCTCATTTTGTCGTTGCCGTCGCCAGGAATACCAGCCCAGCAGTTGGCTACATCGATCCCGATAACGTGTTGATGGATGTTGGTTCGCACTCGAGGCATTCCCCAGTAGTCCATGAGGACTCCAGGGCAGACCCGAGTATATTGCAACTTGGTTTTCTTCAGCAATTCAGCTGCATCAAGCCAGTACTTAATGCTGGGATCGTGGGGTAGGAGACTGTTTCGTTAGCAAAGTTGCCATTAGTGCCAAGCGGGGTAAACATACTCCTCGGTTTGGATAAATGAATATTCGCTGGGGACAAATCTCTTGGTTACACTGGATTTATCGGCAGCCTGGACAAGGTTCATCTGAGATTGGGCGGCTTCGTCGGTGTAGATTCCGATGGCGGAGATGATTGTGTGCACGGCATGCTTCTCCAGCGTTTCGACAGTAGAGTCAAGATCATTATAGTTGATCTGAATTTGCTGCGTTTGTTTGAGAACTGGATTCTCTTTGGGAACCTACGTTTCATGAGTCAGTGCGCGCGAGGCATCGTCTATGAGGGGTCGTACACTTTGCGTCAAGACAATGACCCGATATTTGGGTTCCTGCAGCAATGCCTCGACGATAGTCTTTCCTATGCCGCCGGTTCCACCGGCCACAGCAATCGTGCTCATCTTAGTATACTTATTTGTATATTCCGAAGTGTCTTGGTGGGAAAGATTTGTGTTGGGCGCCGAATGCGTTGGCTTGATTGGGATGTGGTAGAATCAGACCCTGCTGGTTGCTGACCCCACATGATAAGTTGGTGGGTCCTGCTTTTCCACTTCCATGGATGATGCTGTTGACACTTGACACTGATACCGATTAGCATGCAATACAACCGCAGTGGTCGGTTTGCTGAAACAATAGTATATTCCGTCGTTTCTGCTTGCATATGTACAGGGGAGCTCATAGTGTTCCGTACGACCTAAAGATAGTGTTGGGGCAGTCGATAGGTTTATCAGTGTTGAAGTGGCGCATGAGGGTGTCACGATGTCTTATGCTGCTGGCGCCTTGCAGGCGACATCATCTTTCTTTCTGTGTGACTTGTGCAATTGGATCTCATGTGCTATCACAGAATTAAATAAGTAGTAGCATCTGACGATACGATGGCAAGAACTTCAATCCTCGCCCGAAGCATCCGTGGCACGATTGCATCGAGATATATATATCAGGCGAGTCAACAATTACTAACTAACCAAAACGGAAGCAAAAAAGAACAGGCCACACTAGCGCACTGTAGAACATCATGTTAGCTATTGAGTCGCATTCAATAACACGCGTGGCCCAATATTTACTAAAAGAAGGATGAAGCAGCAGAGGGTTGTGCTGAATTCAGGTACTCCGTAGGTGGATTTGATGGAACGCACAGGATCATAGTGTAATGTCGTTATATGTATCTTGGTATCAGCAATCCCGAAAGTTGAAATCCATCCCAGCTTCTTAAATGAGGTTCTAATCAGTTTTGGTGTCGAGCTGCAATGGCTCTTCAATTGTTCTGGCGACAAGCATCCTCAACGGACCGATCATTATCTTGCTTTATACAGGATTATATAACCAAAATACGCGATATTCCTTCACCAATCCTCGATGGTCTAACGGTCATGATTTCCGCTTGTCAATCCCAGTCGGGAACAAGCGCGGGAGACCTGGGTTCGACTCCCAGTCGGGGAGATTTCTTTTTTGTTTTCCGCTCATACGCCAGCATGTTTTTGGGCTCCGAGATTGAGTCACACCTGCGTATATCCAACCCTGTCATACACCCCTTACTATTTGCACCATCATGCATTCATCGGGAAGCCTCACGAGGATGGCTTGAGATACCACAGCATTCTTTAGCCGGCGAGGGGCAATTCTGTGGCACACCGGGGAAACAAAGGCCCGGGGCCAGACACGCCCGGGGAAGCCGCTTTGCTTAGCCCCGGACTTAATGAGTCAAGCACCGATCGCGTCATTTAAATTCTTCTGCAGTTCTTATCGCTTGCAGCAAGACAATACAACAGCAATTGTAATCATTCATTCATCATGAAGAGAGAAGACATTACCTACCTGGGTGCTGGCCCTGCCAGTCTCCCCACCGATGTTCTCGCCACAGCTGCCCAGGCGCTGCAGAACTACCAAGACACTGGACTGTGAGGGGCACTGATCTGTGCGATCTTATCTGCGACCGTATCTAACCTGCTCTTCTAGTGGTGTCGCAGAACACAGCCATCGCAGCGAAATCGCGACAAATATCCTGAACGGTGCCAAGGCTGATCTTGCCAACTTCCTGGATATCCCCGACACCTACGAGATCCTCTTCCTGCAAGGTACATCGCTGTCCCCATCTCTCTTCGCTATTGCAACTCGCTGATGGATTGAAGGTGGTGGATCCGGCCAATTCGATGCGACCGTTTACAACCTCGTCTCGATCTGGGCTGAGAAGCAGAGACAGCAGATCATCAAGGAGAAGGCCGGTATTAGCGAGGAGGAAGTCATTAGCGAGCTGCGCAAGAAGGTCGAGTCGGAACTGAAGCTGGACTACCTGGTCACTGGATCGTATGGTCACCCAAGCCCATAGCGATCGATCAACATATACTAAATGGCCCCACAGATGGTCGCTGAAGGCCAGCCAGGAAGCCGTTCGCCTTCTTGGCTCTGAGTATGTCAACATCGTCAGCGACTCCAGGACTGTCAACGACGGCAAGTTCGGAAAGATCGCAGACGAGTCGACCTGGAAGCTGAGCCCCAAGGCTGCCTTGGTCTACAAGTGCGAGAACGAGGTGTGTATAGGCTCTCATTTATGAGTTTCTCGCTAACGCGTCTTACGTAGACTGTTGATGGCGTCGAATTCCCCAGCTTCCCCAAGGTTCTGGAGCCCAAGGGTACCGACGAGGATCCTATTGTCGTTGGAGACTTCTCTTCCACTATCCTGTCTAGACGTATTCCTGTCCAGGTATGTACCTGAACCATGCTATACCAATTGGTTCGATGCTAACCTTTTACCAGAACTACTCGATCATCTTCTTTGGAGCGTAAGGCTTGTCAACTCTCATGATAGAATTCTCACTGACCCCTTACAGTCAGAAGAACTTGGGTGTTGCTGGAATCACGGGAGTGATCATCAAGAAGGACCTCTTGCCCCCTGTTTCTTCCCCTTGCTCTCCTGCCATCCTGCGCAAGCTCGGCTTGCCGATTGCGCCCACCATCCTCGACTACTCCGTTGCCGCTAAGAACAACAGCTTGTACAACACTCTCCCCATCTTCGAGTGAGTGATCTACCAAGCTTACAAGGTCGGTTCCGCTGACAGCATTTAGTGTCTACATTGCAGGCCAGGTTCTGAAGAAGCTGCTTGCCTCATTCCCCGACAAGGTGGATGGACAACAGGCTGTGGCCGACAGAAAGGCTAAGCTCATCTATGAGACGCTTGACGCCTACCCCGAGGTATACAAGGTCGTCCCCGCTAAGGAGGTGCGTTCAAGAATGAACGCCTGCTTCCGTGTGATCAAGGTATGTCCCTCAACCATCTTTACGGATGTCTCGACGCCAGGGCTGACCTAGTTAGGGTGGCAACGTCGACGATGCCGAAAAGTCCTTCCTGAAGGGTGCTGTCGAGCGTGGCATCACTGGCCTGAAGGGCCACAGAAGCGTCGGAGGTAAGTGACATGAAAAAGCTGTGATCGACAACTGTGACTGATTCAATGTAAAGGTATCCGTGCGTCGAACTACAATGCCATTCCCGAATCGGGCATTGAGAGGCTTGCCGCGTACTTGAAGGAGTATGCTACGGCATAAGCGCAAGACAATCAATCAAAAGTAGAGTTTGTTTTCTGGAAGAAAAGCACTGTTATCATTCAACCCTTCATGTGGTGCAGATTATAGACGGGGGTAACGCATAGAGCTTGGACATAACATTTACCAGCGATAGGTTCAACCCATTTAGGATGGCTGGCCCAGCAATACACCTTTTTAACGTAGTCCTTTCAATAGAGATTGTTCTGCATAGAAATACGCAATAATGAGCCCAGTATCAGTAGAGGTGAGGTAGTACAAATAGCATATCAAACTAAAGCTATGGATTATGTGTTCTAGAATGTATTGTGCCAGCTACCACATGATAATATGTCGAGGCTGACCACTCAGCTAGGAGTTTATCCTTCTGTGACGTTCCATGCACCATCCCTGCCAGTTGTAGCATTCACTCGCCCGACAACCCCGCCTACAGTTGGTATCTGTGTTTTAACCACGATTTTGACCATATCTTCATCCATTACCTGATTCAGATTTCAAGAACGTCCGAATCCTTAGATTTTACGCCGGCCTTGTCGTCCACAACAGAATGTCGCACGTTAAAAAGCTCCACCTGCCTCGCCCGACAGCTGGCATCAAGACTGACGTTTGAAATCTTCCAAACGAGATAGAATCACAAATAACAACACTAGCAGCCGTCCTCCAGGTCCAGCAGCAACAGCGTACCCCCCTTGCAAGAGAAGAGGAAGAGGACGAAGAAGAAACTGACGATGAAGGTACCCCCAGCGATGAGCAACTGAGAAACCATGAACTTGGATCGTCGGCCGTTGTCGCTCCATTAGCTTCAGTGGGGTGTGGGAGAAGAAGAGCTTCGAGACGCATGGCAGCAAGACAAATTGAAAGAATTTATTCTGTTCCAAAGCTCCCAGATACCATATACTTGGATTCACAATGAGAGCCATTGGATAAGTCAGCAGGATGGCTTTGCTGCCAACAAAGTGACTGATTTTAATCTCGTGTTTGAATCTCAAAAACATGTGCTCAAGCCCGCAGATCAGCAAGTATCATATCAGCTGTGGAAGCCACGGGAAAAGCTCGGAGGCTATGTGTTTCTTTGCCAGATTCGAAATGGATACATCCCCGGCGCCGACGAGGACAACTGGATTTGCCTTGGATTCTGCACAGCTCGGGATGGCGGCGAAACCCAACAAGTGGCGAAGCTATACAGAGAGCTCCTCGATAGATGTGTATTCGAAGAGTTCTGGAAGGCCATGGTAGAGTCGAAGATGGTCGACCTGTTCAGAAAGTACGGCCTCGGCGATGCCATCGCAGAATCGCGGAATTTCGAGACCCTTTTGAGCGCTGTTGGAACGAGGCACCAGAGTGTATGGGAATTGAAACGGTTCACTCGCTTGTCGTCTCCACAACCTCACCGTAGTGTTACTGTGGATTATGGATTCTACAACTGTCAAACACCACTGGAGCTACGTGACCTCTGACAAGCATATGGGAACTTCTTTGCTCAGGGTGGGGATGAAATGACCCTTCATGAGGCCTGTCTCCAGGGTCAATTAGCGCCATTTCTTGAGTCGGAATTGAGAGGGCTTTCCATTTCGGCTGAACTGGTGTCGAATCCATATCCATTACAGGGATGTGAATACGAGGGTATGGTCTAAGAGAATGTATGCCTTGTCCCGCAGTCAACTTACGGAGAAGCAAAGACGTGGCAGATGCAAAGAGGGAAAAAGATGACTATAATGGTTCATCCTGATGAGGTTGATGAGGCGATCGGGCAATCATTATTGAAGAGATCGAAATGCTTGGGACTGACGGTGAAGACCCAGACGACTATGATGAACGGGCAACTTGTGGAGAGTATGTCTGGGATGTGAATTTTGGCCATTATGGGCCAAGTAGATGATCTCCAGCCCCCTATATGCTACTCTATCATACCAACGAAAGAGTCTCTTTCAGTGCTGTCAACTCAAGACTAGAGAGATAGCTTGTAGATCATTAAACGTCTACTTGAAGATGTTAGTATGTGTTACAGAAGAACCAACTCTGATATAGGTAGTACCGGTCTAAGTGGAGATCGGAATTACAACAATTTCCTATTCTAGAGATTCAACCTTGTAATAGTGAGCTCTTTCTGTATCGGGATTCGTTATAGATAAAAGTACGATTTAGACAACTAACTAAAGACTTATTTGACTCATATTAAGGTTTATAAGTAATCTTGGTTCCCACTGTTAATGGTGTTTTAGGGCGGATGAGGATGATCAAGATTTTTGATTAGTGAACATCCCGAGCCGAGGTATCTCTCCCGCCTCCCCTTTTGCTCAACCAACACACACCTGAAGCACATCATCCACTTAGTGTCAAAAATATACTTGCATAAAGGTAAAGTTTCTAAGCTGTTTAACTTTACTTTTATGCTATCCGGCCCAACAAAGAATAGATCGACCCGGTCTGGACGGGTTGGATGCTGTGACGTGTGGCGACTGGACACGGCAGGGCAGGATATGTCAGCAGCTCTTCTGCCTTTTGCTTTTCTCTCCACAACCTCCATCAGCTCTTCCGTGCAGACAAACCATCACGGTAAATAATGTTATATTCTGTCTATCGTCAAAAGCAAATATGAGCGACTCAGACACAGCTTTACTCCCCTGGGAGAGCGTCAACGATGCGTTCTTTGGATCTCACTATGACTCGACAGCCCCGCAGATAACATCGCTGCTCTCGGCCTGCTCGTATCCCGTGCCCCAACAGATCAGGCAACAACAAAGGAGACAGCAAGATGTCCAACTCCCCCTTCTTGGTGGAATCATACCAGAGAATCAATTGCTTCTTTATAATAACGACACCCAGCCGACTCAGCCTCCAGTAAAATCTCTGAAACGCACTCGCAATGAGGTAGAGAAGTCTGGCTCGTCGGCGCTTACTAAACGAGGTCGACCGCGAAAAGTAGCCCAGAACACCGCAGATGAAGATCCAGAAGAGGTACGCGAGACTCAGCTTGTTTGTACACTGCCATCAAAGAAATTGATTAACTCGAGTAGAGACGTCGGAGACAGATCCGACTTGCGCAACGCGCATATCGCTCACGAAAAGAAGCCAACCTCTCGTCTTTGAAAGGTCGCATCTCCGAACTCGAAGGAATTGTGGAAAAGATGAGTACATCTGTTTTATCGCTCAGTGACGAGCTGGTTCGGTCGGGGGTATTGGCATCCCATGCAGGTCTGACGGAACATCTGCGCGATACCGTACAGACATGTCTCACCCTAGCCAGAGAGGCTAGCAATGATAGCCCCCAGGAAGTTACGACTATCTCGCCACCTCAGACCGATGACGGTTTGCCCGATTTCCTGCCACATGAACAACATAGCCAATCGGCACAGATTGTCGAACTGGACGAGAGCGTTTCCTCCATCTTGGAGCCTAATCTACATCTGGAGCTTAGAGAATCACCGATAACGTGGAGCAAGAAAATACCTCGCTTCTTCGAGTCCTCGGAAACCGCTGAAATGGATTTGACTGTATTCACCGATAGACTCCACATGTCATGCGTCTATCAAGGGTGTTTTGCCCTTTGTGACGAATCCATCAGTGCAGACAGGATACAGAAGCATTTCTGCCTGCTACTTCAGATTATGGAGAGGAAACGTATTGCGTCATACTTTCAAGCCGCGCTAAATGAGAAAGAGAGTCGAAAATATTTTGCGGAGTGGGAAGAGGTACCCTTCTTCAGTCTGGGTGGTGCAGGAACCCATTACTCTCGGTCTTCTCTGAAGAGCAAAGCAGCTGATCGTCCATTCCGGCCTGGAGTACGGTGGGTTTCCGTGCGATCTGTATCGCACTTTCCACAACATATACAGGCCAAGCTTCAAGGGGACTGGTTTGATATGGGTGACCTAGAAGGATACCTGAGGGAGCATGATGTACTTCTTCTTACATATCCTCCTATGGATCCCGCGCGCCATAGTCTCAAGGGAACAGCGATTAATGCGGCACGTTTCATACAAGGTATGGCTCCATTTCGCTCCTTGCTTCTCGATTCTCAATACTCACTGATTGGCAGCACTATCGGCGAATGCAATATGTCTTGGGTGGACGCCGGGGTTCAGCCGCCGTGATGTGGAGAGCGCTCTCCAGTCTTGTGTATGGAGATGAGGTAATGGCTGCTTTACGGGAATGTGGCTTACATTACTGCCATGATTTTAAAGAAAATAGCTAGTCTGATTGACACATCATGGAGGATGCTTCTGGGTCACCAGACATCTCTCTCGCGGGATTTAGGATCGCCTCGCAAGACAGACCATTGAAGCAGAAGGAAGAACAGCGGAGAGAAATATTCATCTCTGTATCACAGATCAGCGAGCATGCTGATGACCCTTGCAGAAAGGATGGTTGCTTAGCTGCTATAGCTCACTGTCATGCTCTCGGGATTTTTATTATGGCCGTTATGGCCACTCCGCTCTTCATTACCCAAGTGATGAGAATGGGTGATACAGTTGTTCCTTGCCTAGATCCCCGCGCATGATCAGGAAGTCATTCAGAAATCGACAATCCGCCTGTCATCCATTACTGCTAGGGCCAACCCTATTCAAAACTCAGTGCTCGATTGTTCCTGAGCTACCAGTCTGCGAATTACACTTGACGGAATGTCAACCTTGAGGACACCGTATTCCTTCAGCCGCACCGACGGTGAATTCTCGACAATAAGTCTGTGTGTCTGCTCGCAGAGTTAGTGAAAGATGAATTCGCAAGCCACCTTCTCCGACCGGGCCCACCTATCATGGTGCACTACATGTTAGTATCCAAAATTTGTACCAACGGTTTTGTCCCTGGATCATTTTCACTTTTCCGCTGACCTAAGGCGCTATGAACAGAGTCTCAAGCGCTTGTATTGCGATGAGTTTCCGAGACCTATTTCGAACCAGGCAGCCATATTTATAAATATCACACGGAGGGCGAAATTCCGAGACCAGGTTACTCTGACCATGTACTACAAGTCTTTCATAGAGGGACGCACTATTGTGGAGACAAGTCTAGACAGATGAGGCTAGGCGACGGGGCAAATGACACGCTCATGCGGATCCAAAGGCACATGGAAAATTTTCATCGAGGGCATGCACGTGCCGCTAATTGCGTGGAAGAATTTCTTGAGCCTATGGCAACTGGCCCTTACAGATATGTCTGTCACTCGCCGTCTAGCAAAGTAAGTCCTAGCAGGATTGGAGGTCCAACTGCTCAGGTTGTGCTTTAGATGCAAGGACCGACGGCTTGACGTGATGTAAGCAATGTTGCACAAAAGAAACAAACAATCGCATGTCTCTGGGTGGCTACTTGGAATTTCCTTCTATCAGGTTCTCTCAGAAAATGGACCGAAGACATGACTGTGATGGTCCAGTTTGTGCGACGGGAATCGGTCGAAATGACAACGAAAGCCATGCACGTAAGGGGTTGTGAGGCTGACCTTGGTCTTTAAGAGCCAACCTCAATCTGAAATATACGTAAGCTTATACTTCGTTACACAGTTCCTGATGAATGCTTAAGTGGTGGACAATAGACCGCGCGGACATTGCCTCAAGGGCTTGGATTGGAGAGAGATCAATGTTTACCAGCGGCCCATAGAATAACTACCAAGTTAGCATCGCGGGTTCTGGGGAAAGCCATAGGTCAATCATTCGACTGAAATATGTATCGCAGAGAACGGCATGATCGGTAGACACTAGAAAACTTAGAATCAGCCAAGCCAGCCAGGGTATAGCGGCTTGGGGAGGATGGGATTACTACTTAAGATAGTCGTCGCCAGGGGGGCTTTGCCATTCCAGCCACAGGGGAGGCGCGCGGTCCCGTGGCTCACCGCGCTAGTCCATTTTTGGCTCCGCCTGCATTCTTCAATCCAGGATTCCATCTCTCATTCTTCATGCGCCTCCATCTCCAATCTCTCTCTGGATCGAATTATCGGGCCTTTCTTGATCCCATCTGACCGGGAAACGCGATCGCTTTACGCACGTCGTGATGTGGCTAATCCACCCCCAATTATTCTTTTCTTCTTTAGGTTGATCCTCCAACTTCCGCCATGTCGGCACCAAGAAACAACGGCGTGGTCAGCCCATCCCCACCCGGTGTCTAGACTCAATTAGCCTACAACGTCGGCTCATCCTCTACAAGGAAGAAAAAGGCATGTTCCTAAAATAATTCGCCTTTCACGACGGAGTGCTCCCATCCCCGATCACAGCCCAGGCCACGGAGTGGTGCCCCGGATCGGCAATCTCGTCCGGTCGCTCAGCGATCGCGACCTGTCAGCTGTTGGCTTGATGGCTTGGGAATGTGACGGTTGCCAGGATAGTGGCAGGGGCATCGCCAATTCTCTTTTACTCGGTCGCTGGGTCTGATGGTTCACAAAGGGAGTTTAAAACTGACATGGAGCAAGTTTTCGTTTAAATTAGGACCTGGCTTGTCCAACCCGAAGAAAAAACACAACCCTTGTGGTAGTCGAATCTTTGGGCTTCTCCTGTTTCATGTCATCCCGCCGAGCTCTCTGGTCGTGTTTCAGGCTCCACCATCGTGGTGTTGCTCTTTGTCGCTGATCCACCCGACATGCCTGGCCAAAGAATGAAGGCTGTGGACTCATCAAGACGCATTCTGTCTGTAACCTTCTTTTTGCTCTGATTCGTCGTGTACCTGCCGACCCCCTCCCAGGCACGAACCGTCGTCCTCCCAATGGGCGGCAACGAGCCGCCCAGTGAATGGCCCAGGCGACAAGAACACTCAAGCTGATTTGTTATGGACCTTGAGAATAATGCTAGTGGCCTGCAGCCACTTGCGCAGACGCCACGCTAATTTAGATGTCCGGGTGTTGCTGTTATTATTTGTATATCGCCCGGCCTACCCCCGGTCTGCGTCATGCTCCCACATTGTTGTGTACATTCTCTACATATTTCTCCTTTCGCCCATCCTTTCCCTACACACGTTCTCTATTTTCTTATTTCTGACTAGCAGTTGATTTCTGCACTTCCTGTCCTACCTTCCTTTTCGCACTCTGTACGCCTAGAGGGCTACTTTCCATTCTTTTTCGTCCCCAAACGTCGATCGTTTTCGAATAAATCTCCGTTCCTAAAACCTCTGGTTTCTCTAATCCTTCAGAGTCCTCGGGACTTACCTTCTCTCACCGCGCAATTGCTTGACCGAACATAGTGACAATGCCTACCTCATCCCTACTATGGAGCGTAGGGTCGCTCGCTCTTTCATCGATGATCTTGCCCGCCGCGGCCAGCGGTTATCAACTTGTGGAAACCTGGAAGGGCGAGGATTTCCTGACGGCTTTCGATTTTTACACAGGCGCTGACCCCACGAATGGATTCGTCACGTATGCGAATCAAAGCTACGCCGAGAGCAAGGGGCTGGTCAAGGTCAACTCGAACGGTACCTTCTACATGGGTGTCGACCATACCACGAAGCTGAGCACCAACGGTCCTGGCCGGGAGTCGGTCCGCATTGGGAGCAACAAGTATTATGACGAAGGTCTGTTCATCATCGACCTCGAGCACATGCCCGGAAGTGTCTGCGGTACCTGGCCCGCCTTTTGGTCCACAGGCAAAGACTGGCCTACGGATGGTGAGATCGATATCATTGAAGGTGTCAATAAGAACGAAGCCAACGAGATCGTCCTGCATACGAGCGGTACCTGCCAAGTTTCCAGCCAGAAGATGACCGGCACCCTTTCCTCCACAGAGTGTGGTGAAGACTCTGGTACTACTGGATGTGTTGTTGAAGGTACTCAAGGTTCTTCTGGCACCCCGTTCAACGAGAACGGTGGCGGTGTCTACGCTATGCAGTGGACAGATGAGTTCCTCAAGTTCTGGTTCTTCCCCCGTGGTTCCATCCCCACCTCTATCACCAAAGGCGACCCCGATGTCGCTGCTTTCGGCACTCCGATGGCGCACATGCAGGGCTCGTGCAGCATCGCCGAACACTTCAAAGCCCAGCAGTTCATCTTTGACACCACCTTCTGTGGTGACTGGGCTGGCGGAGTTTACAGCACCTCCGGCTGTCCTGTGAGCGATAGCAGCAGTTCCTTCAAGAGCTGCGTTGCTTATGTCGCCGAGAACCCAGCGGCTTTCGCCGAGTCGTACTGGGAGATTAACTACATAAAGATTTACCAGACTGGCGTCGCAGCCTCCGCTTCTGCTTCTGCTTCCCGCGTCGAATCTGCAGCCACTGTGGTTGAGACCGTCTCGTCTGTTAAGGAAGTGACTAACTCTGTTGTTGCGACCACTGCCGCTGCTACTACTGTTGCCACCACCGCTGATGCCGAGACTGCTACAACCATAACAATGGCTGAAACCGCCACTGCCGCCGCAGCAACCGAGAGCTCTGTCGCTGATGAGAACGGCTCTTCTGCATCGACGTCCACCCACTATGTTACTATGACCACCACTATCTGCCCGATTGCTGAGAGCTCCTCTGCTGCGGCTGCTCTGGCTGGCGGAAGCTCCGAGGCTACCGAGGGTAGCAACAGCGAGGGTAGTTCTGCGACTGCAACACCAGCTAGCGCCAGTGGCGCTAGCGCTGAGGCTAATGGTAGTGAGGGCTCTTCCGCCGCTGCAACTACCCCCTCAACTGCTACTGGTGCAAGCGCGGAAGCAAATGGTAGCGAGAGCTCATCTGCTTCTGACGGTGGCAGTGTTGCTTCTGGAACACCATCTGATATCAGCACCACCGGTGCAAACGGCGACGCCAGTGAGGATGCCTCTGCTTCTGCCACACCTTCTAATGTCAGCACCACCGGTGCGAGTGCTGAAGCTAATGGTAGCGAGGACTCCTCTGCTTCTTCCGAGGCTAAAGCTGTCGCTTCTGCCACCCCATCCAGCGTCACTGGTGCAAGCGCCGAGGCGAATGGAAGCGACAGCGCCTCTTCGAACGCTGCAACCACATCCAATGTGAGCGGCGCCAGCACACAATCCGGTGATGATGAGAGCACCCCAGCATCTGCTGTGGCCAATGCCGGTTCTTCTGCTACGCCTGCCTCCGTTAGTGGTGCAAGTGCGGAAGCTAATGGCAGTGAACAAAGCGCTGCTGTGGCTGCTTCAAGTGTCAGCGGGGCAAGTGCTGTGGCTAATGGTAGCGAGGGAAGCTCCAGCCAGTCGTCGGGGTCCCAGGCCGGATCTGACTCCTATGGCTCTGTCCCCTCAAGTGCTGCTGCATATGGCAGACCTGCCCCCAGCTCGTCCAGCCATGCATTTGCCACTGTACCCTCTTCTAGCGGATCAATCCGTAAGCCAACCTCTGCTGCCGCTGCCAACAATGCTGCCGCTGCCACCCAGGGCAGCTCTGCTTCCGGATCTAAGTCCGGCCACTCTGGCTCCGGTTCCTCGTCTGCTACTACCCCCTCAACACCTGTCTTCACTGGTGGAGCAAACAAGTTGACTCTTGGTGCCTCCAGCGTTGTCGGTGTCCTTGCTTTTGCTCTGTTGGCTTAGCGGGCGATTTTGGTACTTTGTGAATTACCCACATCCATTCTGCTTCTTTCACACTCGTAGGGAGAGACTTTGTTTGCAACCTACTGTTTTTTTATGTACTATAGGCTGGTTGCCTTGCTTGAAGCATTCCACTTGCCATCCTGGTCCACACCCTTCGATCGCGTTCGATATCCGCCTTCTTTCGGCTATACTTTGAGATTCCGAGCTTAGATAGTTAATCAAATAGAACAAGATACACTATCCATGACTATGTTAGAAGATTAATAGCCGAGTACTCAATGAACCATAGAAAATGTAGTATCCACTTGTGTTATGCGATCTCGTCATGTGATGATAGTGACGAAATGAGCAACGGTGTCTGAATCGTCACTTCCTCAGTTGTCAACCACTGCACCACTTCTTACAATCATCTCTCTTCGTCTTCTCCATCGCTGATACCAGTTTTTCTTTTGTCTCTGCGATCCAGAGAGTCCCATGGTATTACATTTTATTATCTCGAAAGTTCATTGTAAGATTGATGAATTAAACTGCTAACTCCAAAGCCAAATGTGGTATCTAGAAGATCGTGAACTATTTACAGATAAATATCGACATGAAGAGATCACCGTAGTCTCATGAGCCCCCTAAGCTGACTTCCATCGCTTCAACCAATCCTGCGCATACCGAGTGAGGATACCATCCTGTACAATCCTCAACCGGCCATTCCTCAGAGTCATACTATCTCTCTCTGCTTTCTCAGTGAGGAACCTGACCGGCTTCGGGGCATCCTCATTGTACATTGACTCGTAATGAGCCGTCAATTTCACAGCAGGGTTGACCATCTCCTCTCCTCGAGCTTCACTTTCGCGAAGCATCTGCAGCCAGTTCTCAAACGGGACGGTCTCGAATGAGAATCCGCTGCGTTTGAGTGTATCGAGCAAAGATGACCATGTGAAGACACGCGAGTTGCAAAGGTTGTAGATGGTGTCGTCTACCCACTCGCCGGATGCTGTGTTGTCCCAGCGCTCCTCGAGGGAGTTGAAGGAGCATGCACGGGCCAGTTCAAGCATGGAGCAGGCAAGCTTGTCGACGGGTAGCCAGGAGCATGTGATGTCGAGGTCAGGCAAAGCTTTCAGGGTCAGAGCTGAACGTATCATCAGAGGGATGGCCTCTGAGTCGTTCCATAATCCCTTCTTTGAGTGACCGGACACTTGTCCGATCCGAAGGGAGTATGTGCGTGCACCAGTTCTGCGAGCATTGCTGACGATCTTCTCTCCAATCAGTTTTGAGCGTCCGTATCCCATCTCAAGAGCGCTCGCAAGATCTTCGATGGGAGTCTCGTCTACGTCGGACGAGGCGCCGAGGGCTGTTGAGATGGAGGAGCAGAAGAGGAGAACTGCTGGCTCAGGGAGGTTCACGGATAGAGAGAGGTTGATGAGATTTTGGAGTCCTTTGATGTGAGGCTCAAAGCTCATGAGGGGAAGGTTGAAGTTGACGGGCCATGCGGTGTGGATGATGAGAGACACGGATTGTCGCATCTCCGCCATAATTTTCTCACCGACTCCCAGATCAGGCTTTTCAAGAGAGCTGTTGAGAGCGACAATCTTCTGCAGTCGATAAGGAAGGACTGAGAGACCTTTCTGTGCGAGGGTGTCAATGACAGCCTTTTTGGGCTGAGATCTCCGTGTCAGGCAGTACACGGCAGACACTGTGTCGTCGTTCAGAAGCTTGTAGAGAGTGTGAGCGCCGATAGAACCAGTTGCTCCAGTGAGGACCTGCGCTTGTTAGTTGACGACTCGATATACCTGGCCAGGATAAAGACTTACAACACTCTTTTGCGTTGCCGCGGAGCTGGGGTTTGGTGTGTGCCTCTGGAAGACGGAGTATTTTTCAATGAGTCCTGGCATCATGGAGACCTCATCCTCAGCCACATCTTGCTGACCGGACTGAACCAGGTGGATATGCTCTGCTAAGCGGACAATACTCCCAGTTTCAAAAGCGACATTGTGGCCGATGTCCTTGGGGTCCTCTACTTTGAAGTCCCTCAATATTAGGCGACGGAGATGGATTGCCTTCAGGCTGTCTAAGCCCTCGGCGAAAAAGTCGGATTTAGGAGTAGAGATGGGGAATCCAAGCTCTTCGTGACAGAGCTTGATCAGATGGTCCTCCGTTGCGGTCAAGTCCAGCTTGAGAGTTCCGTCGGCTGTTTGTTCGAGTTTCGTGTACATGTTCTCGATGGTTTCTTCATACTTGGCATATACCTGGGCTCTGATCATTGATCCCTTGTCTGTACGAGGACAGGCGCAGTCAATAGGCAAGACAAGGATCATGTCGCGGGATATTTGAGAAAATTGCTCTGCCCGCGAATTGGCATCTTCCACTGTTGGCCAAAGAAGATCCAAATACTCTTCATCAGAGAACATCTGGGAGTTTTCTGTACGGAAAACTAGCAAGCCAGGAACGGCTTTGTTGACACCGACAACAACTGCTTCCTGAACCAGAGGGCTCTGCTTGATGCAGCCCTCGATTGGGAGAGGAAGGACCTTCTCACCATTGACAAGCGTGATTCGGTCATCCAGACGCGACACGTACTTCCATCGGTCGGCAAGAGTTGGGTGGGGAGTGAAGACGTCGCGAGAGTGGTATGAGCCAGGGGGCTCATTGGAATTTGAGGCCGTTAATGCAGGGTGGCCTTTGAGGTAGACGACTTCATAGAGCGCGTCACTGATGGGTTTCATCCAGATGAATGGCTTGATGTTGTCGAAGAAGCGCATATAGTTCCAGAAGGGATCTCCTGCTGGCCGAGAGATCGACTCGGCGACCAGGCCGGCTTCCGTTCTAAAAGCGAGTTAGCAACACAACTAGCTGAGAATGCTGGTGGATACATACAGCCCGAATGAACCACCGAATCTAACACCCTCGTCTACAAGTCTATCACCCAGCTCGTCAGGGCATGGTGCACCACCATATGTGACAGACTTGCAAGCTCTCAGCGCTTTTAACCCGCGTGGGCTGTCGACAAGGAGTTGGAGTAAGTATGGTACGCCCTGGACCGATTCGGGTTGTGCTGCTTCCAGCGCAGCAACGGCCGTACTTGCGGTCAATGGCAGAGAGGCATCCCACATGTATGCTGTTCGTCGCATATACATGGCTTGCAGGGCTGTAGATAGCCCGTGAAGATGATACCATGGCAATGAATTGAAAGAAGTGAACCCAGGACCCCGCATTGGATGCGTCATCAAGGCTTTGTGGCTTAAGAAGAGAGGCTTGGGGGTACCTGTTGACCCTGAAGAGTGCAGAATCAGGGCAATCTTTTCGACTTGGAGTTCAGGACGACGACTCCGACATATCACAACAGCATCAGAGTCTTCTGATAGGTCCTCTGGAGAAGGTCTTTCGATGATTGGGCGACACGCAATTAACTTTAGACGAAGGACTTCACCCATTGTGGCGCGTATATTCGGCGTTTGGCCATAGAGTATTGTGTTACAACCGACCGTGTCTAATAAGGACACACACGCTGTGGCCGATAGGCGTGGTGATAACATCATGACCGTATATCCGAGTCTGCTAAGGGCAAAGAATGTGATCACCATGTTGAGATCTGATAAGGTGAAGAGAGCAACTGTTGCTCCTTCTTTTCGGGCCTAAGAGAGGGTTAGCTTCACACTTAATCTGCAGCGTTTCATCACATACCGGCTTGAAACCATAGTCCATTAATGTGCAGACCGCATAGTCGATCATGCAGTCAAGATCCTGACCGTTGAAGTACTCATAGGACACAGATCCGTTTTGAGAGGGCTTGGGATAAGCCAAGATGGGATGTTGAATATAATCAGCTGCTCGCAGGCGAATCAAGTCATCTAAGAGATGAAGACGGCCGAAGCGTGCAACAACCTGTTCTGTGGTGTTTGTTGTCGGTTTGGGGGCCTGGTCTGTGACCCCTTCATACTGAGGAATTCCCATGATGAGAGTTGACGAAGCTGTACATCAGATAAACCTGAGGTGCTGATGTTGGGGGGAACCAGGGCCTATTTAAGTCCAAGAGCCAGGCTGAGGTGGGTAGATACATCGACCATTTTTGCTATTTCGCCTGGAGGTCGGCGGAGATGAACCGAGTCCGGACCTAGGAACAGTCGCGGCCTGTTGGTTCCCACAGTTTGGGTTTCCGATCCCTGCACAAAACGAAGCGGTGTATGACTAGGAAACGCAAACTGTCAGGCTGATGATCTCCACTGGGAATGACGTCCCCTCAGACACTAGGACGATCAGGAGAGTTGATTACAGGGGCCACTACGTATGCGAACTGTGGCAAGTCCTAAAGCTAATCAGAACCCTAAAGCCAGCACGGGCCCAAATCTGGCCGGACCATGGATGCACGATCGCGATCAGGTGCTGTCAAATCAAGGAACAGAGCTGGCCTGATTTGGTCTGGGATGACACCAATGCTCCTGCCTGTCCGTGCGATGGTCCAAGCTGACTGGATGACAGCGCGCGGGTGCGGTGAAATTTGTCAGTCACACTGCAGCAGATGATGCACGAGCGGAAGCACAGTTCGCAGCATGATGGGCTGGTTGCATAATGTTGCATCCCGCGACATAAAGACGACCCCAATAGTGCAGGGATTGTCAACAATCAGCGTCCATCCAGCCGAGGGACTAGGGCAAGCTAGGATGAACTCCCGCCCCAGTAACCGGGTTCCCGGCCCAGGAACCTGGATCGCGCCCTCGGGAGTGGAAGATCGATCGCTGATCAGCTTTTCTTACAGAGACAGCTAAGCAGTGGACAACCCCTCTTTGCTTTGTTATTCCTCTATATTTGTTTTTTTTCCTCCTCGGCTTTGTTCGCTCCCTAGCCTTGGGGTTGGGACTTTTGGGGAGGGAATGCGAGGCCCGACGTCCTCTCAGGCTGACAAATGCCCACCCTTCCCAAAATAGAGTGTCACAGCAAAATTGGCTGGGGATGCTGTCTCCACCGACAAAAGACGATGTACCCGTGCAGAAAGCCATGTCCGAGTACTCGTGTTCAACCTTCCTCGATGGCCTGTTTCTGACCTGTCTACTGGAGTGGGGCCTTAAGAATATGGCTGTCGCACACTTCAGCCCCGAACTCGACGGGGCATCTCCGGTCTATGGTGAAACCAACCGACCCCTTGCACTGTCAGGAAGTACGGAATACGGCGGACAGTGAACTCGTCTCACGCCTGCACCGCCACCCGAGATGGCTTGGATTTGAATTCGTTAGTTTAGGTCGAGTCATTTATTGTCTTACTAGCCATAATGGCCCCCCTTCAAGTCGACGAACTGGCCCGTGCACCGGACTTCTGCAGCTGGTACTTTTCTCCTTTGCATCCATCAAAGCCCGGTACTTAGCCAGTGCGGACCGTGCGAATATCCGCAATACCGGAGCGAGGTGCTCGATTGACAAATTCTCCGCCTCACTCCTGCTCAAATTTCTTTTCTCCTAATATTACGCTCTATATGATTATGACTTCGATATTGTTTCTGGATTTGAAGTTGGTTTCACATACAATGCTTGCCACTGGAGCTAGAAGATTCTGCAACACGGTAGCCCGATCATTGATCGATTCTGCTCTATCAATAGGTCCAAATTCCCATCCGATCGGAACGCCACGAGCTGAACTCGGGTGGGTCAAACTAAGCAGTACTTCTTACGATGTGACCTGTCCGACGGAGGCAAAAGTTCTCCGTGACTTGCCGGGAAGCGCCCTCTAGATATTGCCGCTGTTGAAAACTCACCTGGCACATAGTACCACCCGATGGGGCCCCGGCGCTACGATAAAGGTATGTACCCATAACTTCCGTCCAAAGTGGAGCGACCTGGGCCGGGAGGTTGATCCGCCGGTAACATTGCAGGTTTGGGATTTAGTTGCCATGAGGTGCAGACTGAAGGCGTCAATGCTGTCAGTATCCATTGTGGTTGGCCTATCGACTGCTTTCACCTGCTTTTAGCCGCTCACCGAATCTTACACAAGCACCCCTATCGACAATGCCGGCTATCCGATCCGCCACCCTAAGCCGGGGAGCTGGAAAAGAAATGACCAATATTGGGTTACCAGCGCATGATCTATCTAATCTCCCGCCTTTTATTCCTGAAATAGTGCGATAATTCGTCACGATTGGCTGGTCCGTGTACCAAATTGCAGCCGGGATTTTAACGTAAGGCGGAATTGTTGAGGGATCGACGGTCTAGCCCAACTAACCACCCTATAGCTCGCATCAATGGACATTCAGGAAAGATAAGCACCTTTGTGTGTGTGTGTGTGTGTGGTCGAGAGTCCGATTCAACTAGCTAAGGCAGAAGCGCAGTTCCTCCCCGATGCTTGGGCCATAACAGTAACATCGATAAAAAAGCAACAACTAACACTTGACACTACACGGTAGAATGACTGGACCGGGGAGTAAACAATGATCTACGCGGGTGTCACCACGGCCGGTTTCCATACTGTTGGTATGACCCTGCAGTTGTTCTTTCAATCTGTCGCCTCACTCCATACTTATGAGGTACTAGCACCAGGACTAGCGACAATATCATTTGGACCCGAGACTGCGATACCGCGATCGCAAACGTGTCGGACAAATTCATAGCTTCGTCGATCGTATTGCACACCACACTCAGACTTTTAGTTAGATGATGATACGCTTGCCTCACTTGACGGCGATAAGCACGGACCTGGAGTCTATTTTGCGGCCAGTCTAGACCAGACACCAATCGGATTCCAGATACAGGTCTCTACCCAGGTTCCTGGAACGGATCCGTATGGTTTAATATCGTAACAGTGCCGGAATACTCGATACACCATCCGGTAGGAGCGCCTGGTTGAAACATTGGCTCTAGTAGCAGACCCCGAAGAGGGGTTGCTTCTTTGTTGCTATGTTGGGCACATCTGTGTGGTCAGACCAGACGATCTTACCTAGCGATCTCCGCGTCGGACTGACAGCTAGTGGGAGCCATAGCTTCGTACATAAAGCACACGTACATACATACTTACCGACATACTGACTCTAGAGGAGCTTGGGCCAGCCGGAGCGGTGGCCATCTTACGGGGTCTGACGGACATTTAGCATTTAGTACTTTCGGAGTGGCGTTGTGGCGCTGGTCCAGGAACAGGGTAATCGGGAGGCCCCAACCCAGCGGTACTGCGCATCTATCTAGCGGGAAAATCTCTTACTGAGTGTGTCTTAAACAATGGGCGGAGCAGCCCGGATTACGACAAAGTTCTGCATATGCGCCAGGATTCATTGAACTTTCTTCAGGAGGAGGGGAGCAAAGCCCATGCGAAAGTGGCCCCAGGCTATTGAAAGCCATTGCCACAGATAGATTGGGCGTCCCGTAATGGGAGGAGGTTCGTCAGCTGGACCACAAAAAGTAAAAGCCTGGGGAAAATAGTCGGAAAAGATAGGGCTGGACCATCTTCAACCTCTGCCCCGTGCGACGTGATTCATGCGGCGATGCGTCTGCTACTGCTATTGTGTCATGATGATCTGGGGCCTCGCCCGACAATCTGCATCCGGAACTATTGGAAAAGCATCGACACAAAGTCCCAGATTGAAGTGTCCTGCAATTATCCTTGCCTTGGAGTCCCGGCGGATGCGACCGGCCTGCCAGGCTTGCTTTTTCCAGGAGTCCGGGTACGGGCATCATTGCGCGGTTGCCATCCTTGCTGATTGATCGACTGCTTGAATTATTGGATTAATCCAGTTCTGGGTCGGTTTTCTGTCCCGCGAAAAGTGCTATATAATCCCTTAACCTGCATGTTGTTTCACCGCTGCTACATCTTTGCATCTCACGCATTCCCATACCACCCAACTATAGCATAGTCTTCTGTATCCTCTCACATTTACTACTTTGTATGATAAAAGATGGCTGTCGACCAGTCCAAGTTCCTCTCCCTAGTGGAGACCATCAAGCAGACAGCATTGCAGGACCAAGGTGCATGCCGCTCTGCACAGTCGCATTTCCAGCTGCTCGGCTTGATCGACGAGCTGCGTCTTGCAGTTGAGACTCCTACGGAGACGGTTCTGCGCTTGATCTACCAGGTAAGTTGCTTCTTTCCCTTCCGCTCAGGTGATTATCGCTTAACGTGCATGCAGCCACCGCAAAATGCAGCCCTCCGCACCGTTATGGATCTCGGTATCTTCCCATTGTTGGTGGAGCAAAGCAAGCGCGGGATGTCGGCTACAGAGCTGGCGGTACAAACTGGTGCTGAGCGCGGATTAATTGGTAAGATGATCGCCAAAGTCTTCACAGTCTCTGCTCATACCTATAGTCCGTCTGATGCGAGTCATGACCGCACTGGGCTTGTGCGCAAACCCAGAATCCGAAGTATACATTGCGACCGACAAGACTGTCGCACTCACTCAACCGATCGGAAGAGATGGCATTCCTTGCATGTAAGTCGCTAGATTGATTACCTGCACTATTGCATGCAATATTGACGGCATAGATACGATCTGACTCTTCCCACTCTCGCTAAACTTCCTGACTATTTTCGGGAACACCGCTACATCTCCCCAAAGGAGTATGCCCGTTCACCCATGCAATGGGCAGTCGGGAAGAGCCAGTTTGAATGGCTTGCGCAGAACAAGCACCGCCAATCGCTCTTCAACTCGTACATGTCTAGTCGTCGTCATGGCAAACCGAGCTGGTTTGACGTGTATCCCGTCGAGCGATTGACGAATGATGCCGTGAACCACCAGGAGGCTGTTTTCCTCGTCGACGTAGGCGGCAACCAAGGCCATGATCTGGTGAAGTTCCAGGACACGCACCCCGAGGTCCCTGGCCGGCTCGTCCTACAAGATTTACCCAAGGTGGTGTCTCGCTGTCCTGGGGGGAGAATCGAAGGAATGGGGTACAGCTTTTTGGACCCGCAGCCTATCAAGGGTATGCAATATTTCTCACGGACCTTCAATCGTTTCACTGTCAAGCTAACATACGCACAGGCGCAAGAGCATACTACTTCCGTGCTATTTTCCATGACTGGCCAGACCACATCTGCCGCAAGATTCTGGTTAACACTATCTCTGCCATGGATCCTGAGTACTCTCGCATCATCATTTCTGACTTTGTTCTACCGGACACGAATGCCCCGCTCCTGCAGTCATCGTTGGACATCCAGATGATGAGCATCGGCTCGGGAGTGGAGCGCTCTGAACGCCAGTGGCGCGAGCTGCTCGACGAAGCGGGATTGGAAATCACCGGCATTTGGAACAGTAACCCGGGGATGGAGTCTGTGATTGAAGCCGTACCTAAGCAGCGCCAGCGCTGTTCCAGTCCTTGATGGCGTAACCTTGATACCTCGTTTAGTTCTCTTCGGCGTTGGATCTGTCATATTGTCTGTGCGCGTTCTGGTTTGAGTTTCGTTTAGTTTCTTAGATATCCCAGTGGTGGCTAGCTGATTCGTTTCTGGTTGTTAATAATATAATGTGATACGAAGTCATCAATCCCTTGCTTGAAGCATCTCTTATTGAACCCTTCTTAGTAATAGTTACTGCGTCACGGCTGACAGCTGAAATACCTATTTCCCGGCCGTGTGTATGTGGGGGGAAATGTACATATGTCATGCAATAAATGACTGAAACCGAGCCCCCCTTGCCGAAAAATAACCTTTTTCTTTCATATTTATTTGTCTTCGATGATTTCTGCAGCTGCAGAACCCCGTTAGGTGACAATCTCGCATAATTGCATACGCAGTTATGTTATAGAAGATGCAAGAAGCTAAAGTTTATTTATTTTTATACTACATCACTAGTAATTACTTAGTGTTTGGGTTCCCTTGCCCCTCCATTCCCCTCATCTCGCTAGTATATTCGACAGCTTGCGTCATAGATTTATCCTATATCCCGCAGGCGTGCATGCATATATCGACATTGTATTTCCTGCACGATTGCCGTTTCAGATGCACGGGATGGGTAAGGAGGGGATTGGCGTGCGGTGTCATATTGTGGGTAACTTTATGTTCTGGGTGGGTTGGGGATGTGATGGTGATGGTGGTGGTTGTGGTTGTGGTTTCACCGCTAGTATAGAGTTTCTTTGTATGATATACTTAGTCCATCGTTGGTAATAGTGGGTGTGTGACTAATAAGAGTTTATAATAGACTGAGATATATAAGTATTAAAGTAGTCAAGAGAGAGAGAGAGAGAGAGAGAGAGAGAGATTCAGGCTGTCACAGTTACACAGATGCACTGCAGTGTGTTCAGATAAAGTTCTTTGTGTGTTGTTCGGTAGTGTCCTGTCTGGGATGATACTATATACTATAACATGACACTGTTATATACTATGATCCCTGCCTATACTATAGAACCAAGTACTAATCATGCCGATAACTAACGACCAACAAGATGAAAAAAAGATGAATAAGAGTAAGAAGGTAATATTCCCCTCCAACTTAACAACACATACTGAGTGCTGAAACTAACCATTACTCACTGGTTTAGTAGTTTACTGTAGGAACCATTTCTGCCACCCTGCTCGAAGGCGGTCAAAAAACGTACAGATTGCGAGCTCAGTTTTTCGGAGCTGTACGAAATATATATCCGTCTATAGCCGTCTATATCCGCACTTTTCGTTGCGAGGTCGATCGAGTTCTGCCGCTTTGGGCGGTAAGTGGAGCGGTCTGGGTGGGCAGTAAGTACTTTGCTATCGCGGGCGGGTTTCTCTTACTGGTTTATTGGAGAAATTGAGGTAGTAGCTTAATAATGGACGGCGTTGATGGCATGATTATTGTCCCAGGGGAAACCTGTTTACTTTTGACTGAACTAAATAATTCATGAGATGACATGGTTCTCTTTCTAC